TAAAGTCTCCCATAATATATACATCTTTATTTTCTCTAGAAATAAATTCAAGGCATGATTCTAATTCATCAAAAAATGTGTCGGCTACATTGTTAGGTGGTCTGTACATTACCCCAACGATTCTATTCTTATGTTTATCATCAATAATTTCTAAAAAATAATGTTTCTATTCCTTCCAGTTGAATATCATGTCTTATTTTAAATTGTACATCATTACGAGAATAAAAAGCGACACCTCCCCCCCTTTCCGTTTTTACGGTCTGAATGAATAAATTCATAATTCTCAATGTTGAATATTGGAGGAGAAGTTGAGTGTAACCAGGTTTCGGTAAGTCCTATCAAAGAAAATGAAAATGTGTTTAGGATAGATAAAAATTCTTCAAAATTATCGAAATTCTTTTGTAAGCTTCGAATATTGATGTTTAATAAACTAAAACAGTGAAGGTTATTATTGGGTCCCGTTGAATTAAAATTTGAATTAAATTCACTAGTAGTATAAAATTTACTCTGGGGTGTATAAACTTGATCGTTCAGAATATCATTTAAAGCCATTAAGATTAAAAAAGTGGTATTGCGACCAGTATAAATGAATACTATGTGTTTGGTGCGTGCATGTGCGTGTAAGAGTGCAAGTGCATTTATAATGGGTGTCGGCAAAAACCAACAAAATCAGGGGGTGTACATGATGTTCACTTGTGCGTGACTATCAGACAGACTCGGGGCCGGTGACAGCGTTCAAACGTGGTCATTAATTTTTTTTTTAAATTAAAAAAAATTGTAATTTAAGAAAGTTTTTTTTATTTTTTTATTTTTTGAGTATAAGCCAGTTCACGGTTGCAGTCTGAGCATGAGCAGATAAAGGTCATTGCAGAACAAATTTTGAAATACACGGAGACGAAATACTGGATACGTGTTCATGAAAGTTATGTAACATTATTCATTCATGCACATTCAGTGCCATCCATGATACACAGGTGGAAGTATTCTTTGAAAAGGGGAAACAAAGGCTATTTATATAGCACCTCCATCGCTGTAGGAGTGATTATTTCAAAATGTAAAAAGTGGGACCTCTTCATGTTTTTAAGATCTGTGGATATTCGGGGTCATTGCAGTAATGTGCTAACCGTGAACTGGTCTATTGTTATCGTTTAAATTTACAGTGATGAATCGTTTTCGAAACGTACTACCTTTAATTTACGGAAAAAGGTGGGTAAGCCTATGTGCTATACCTAAGGGGGTGAGAAGGAAACAACGTTCAGCATTAAGGACTGGATTATGATTGACATGAGAATAGGGATTTACAGGGGGTATGATAATACCTTGGCTTTAGCATAAGTAATACAAATAAGCAATAGTTAAGTTGAAATAAAATGAATTAACATACATCATGCCGATCCACGTCACACCGACGAAACACCGCCAGACACCGGTGAACTAGCATACCGCGGAGAGACCGCGCCACATGATAACATTAATTAGTCACGTCATCATGGAGCGCGAAATACCAACGATACGCCAGCCACCAGACCAGGCAACGAAACGCCAGAGCAGCGCAAACGCTACTTGTTGGTCCCTCCCTGACAACCGGCATGGCAACCAGTCCAGCGGGTGAGGGTCGCTGATCATCTAACCGTGAACCGCGGGCCACGCCCACAGACATGGTCGCCACGCACTACGTTTAAAACAAGAAAAACCATCAACAAAGAACAAGCGATAGTACACTAGTTTCGTGAAATCGACAATGATAATTATAATGAACACCGAGCATGGTATTGATAGCCAAAATTACCCAATTGTAACAAATAAAAATCAGTCGAAACTCGGCCAGGCATTCAAGTTAAAAGTCGATATATGTAATGTATAATAATTAAACTACAATGAAACAGTCACTACCGATTTGTTTTGGGCAGTCTCATTTGCATAGTTTTCAATGCTACACCAAAAAATAAGCCCGCATTACATAAGCACCTTAACCGGGCACTAGGTCGGAGGCACAAAAGTAACACATGGTCAAAAGCACAATTTAAGAATGCATACCAAATAGGGCATTAACATCTCCATCATGCTTATTCAAGCATTTTTGTGTATGTATTGGCAAAAACAAAATCAGCCATGCAGGCCAAAAAATGTTAAAAAGTCGAGTGTATGTAATGTATAATAATTAAACTTCAATGAAACAGTCACTACCGATTTGTTATGGGCAGTCTCATTTGCATTGTTTTCAATGCTACACCAAAAAATACCCCACATTACATAATCAATTTAACCGGGCACTAGGTCGGAGGCACGAAAGTTGATTGATGAGCACGCTCCAATCCAGGTCAAGACTGTATCAATCAGACCTGATGCGCCATGGTTTACCGATGATATCCAGGAAGCCAAGAGGCGAAGGCGTCGTGCGGAACGTCGTTCGATCAAGTCTGGACTTTTTGTTGATAGAGAGCTGTACCGCCGTGAATGCGAGTCATATTATGAGTGCATCTTCAATGCGAAGTCAGCGTATCTCAAAGATCTCATCAAGAATGCTGACACTAAAGAACTGTTTCGTCTTGTGAAGACACTCTCAACGCCCACTCAATCTTCACCTCTTCCAGATCATTCTTCTGATAGTGAACTCGCCAACAGATTTGCTACATTCTTCAGGGAAAAAGTCGCCAAAGTTGTATCCTCTTTCCCTAATGTAGTACCAGCACCAGCTTCAAGATCTTTTGCTTCAGGCCCTCGTCATGAACTCTCTGATTTCTGCCTTGTATCCCTCTCACAAGTCAGGAAGCTCATCACTTCACTTCCTTCTAAACACTGTAAGCTAGATCCGATTCCTACCTGGCTTCTAAAGGAAGTCCTCGATGAACTCCTTCCTCACATAACCAAACTGTTCAATCTCTCGTTATCATCCGGAATAGTTCCAGAGTCTTTTAAGACTTCTCTGCTTCTTCCCCTCCTAAAGAAGCCGAGTCTCGACACGAATGGACTTAAGAACTACAGGCCCATCGCAAACCTGCCATTCCTTGGGAAGGTTTTGGAACGTATTGTGTCACTACAGCTGAAAGCCCACATTGACAATCTCGGTTTGTTTCCAATCCACCAATCTGCCTATCGGAATCATCATTCTACTGAGACTGCAACTGTCAAGGTCCTAAATGACCTACTTCTAGCTGTAGATAAGGGTAATGAAGCTGTCCTCATCTTGCTTGATTACACTGCCGCATTTGACACTATCAACCACGACCTGTTACTCCATCGCTTAGAGAACGACTTCTCCATCACCGGCACCGTACTTCAATGGATTCGCTCCTATCTCATGCACCGAACTCAGAAGGTGATCATCAATGACACCAACTCGGAATCATTTCCCCTCATCTGCGGCGTTCCTCAGGGTTCTGTGGTCGGCCCCCTCCTGTTTATTCTTTACACCAGCCCTCTCTCAAATGTTATTAACCTTCATCAGAATATTCAACACACTATGTATGCAGACGACACCCAGATTTATGAAACTCTTCACCCAAACAGCAGGACAGTAGCCGCGAACAAACTCACCAGTTGCCTCAATGAAATCAAAACCTGGTCTTTTCAAAACTGTCTCTGCCTTAATGATTCAAAATCTGAAATGATTCATATTACTTCTAAATTTCGGAACTCAGACCCCTTTCCTGATCTTGTTATGAGTGATGGCTCTCTCAGTTGTTGTGCTTCTGTGCGTGACCTTGGTTTAAATATTGACAGCAATCTTACTTTCAAACAACACATTAGTAATATTTGTAAGTCTGCTTCCTTTGGTATATATAAGATCAGTAGAATCAGGAGGCTACTTGACCGACCCACAACTTCTAAATTAGTCCATGCTTTTGTCTCGACCCATATCGATTACTGTAATTCTTCTCTTTCTGGCCTCCCTCAGTCACATTTAGTCCCACTTCAAAGGGTACAGAATAGCGCTGCTCGGCTTGTGACTCTCTCGCGTAAATCAGAGCACATAACTCCAATATTGAACTCACTACATTGGCTTAAAATTCACCACCGCATATCCTTCAAAATTCTTCTCCTGTGCTACAAAGCTATCAATGGCTTAGCCCCCTCTTACCTTTCCGATCTCATATCCTTACGTTCCCGTACGTCGTCACGAACACTTCGTTCATCTTCCACATTACTGTTAACACCTGGACCCCGCACTAAAACCCGGTATGGTGACCGCGCCTTTTCAGTTATTGCCCCCGCTCTCTGGAACAAACTGCCCGCCTTTATTCACTGCGCCCCCTCTGTATCTCAATTCAAATCTCTACTCAAAACCTATCTTTTCAAATTGTAAATTGCAGTTGTGCGTCGGTCAATGGAGGTGCGCACCATATTTGTCTTTATTTAGTTGATTGCCACTGTTTTTCTTACCTTATCTATGTTACTTTTGTATTTTTGCTTTTTCTTCTAATTTAATTCTACGGGTTATAGTCTTCTCTTAATCAGAACACTGTGCGCTTAGAAACATCAGTATTAAGCGCCTAATAAATGTTATGTATTATTATTAAGTAACAATGGCCAAAAGCACAATTTAAGAATACATACCAAATAGGGCATTTACATCGCCATAATGCATCTGTAAGGTTGATATAGCAATCTAACTCTAAGCTGTACCTGTAAGATTAAAAGTACATATTGTATAACAATCTTTTGAAGATGTAACTTGTAATAATCTCTGCTCAACTAACCATAACAAAATGATAATAATATAGATCTATATCACAGAGACGGTAAATGCACTGCAGACTGACATGTATTCTTGCATTAGTTGAATTCTCGCGATACATTGACTTTCGACAACCCACACTGCACCGGTCAGGCAGGATAATTTCCTGCACAACTCTTGCGTTCGAAATCAGAATAGGAATATATGTTAAAACGGCGCGCTCAGTATGAATTCGTGCAATACTTTTGCGTTCGAAATCAATCACCATAACAATTCTTGATATCAAGAAATGAATTCTTTTTTGTCTTTTTTTCTCGTTCAGAACAACCTGTGCCCGTTTTCAGACGGAAATCTCTCCCATTCTCGTAGTGAACGCTTCATTGGTGAATAACTAAAATGGGAAGTCCTCCTCGAAACGGAGGGGGAGGACGAGGGCGCCTGTGGTTTCGTGCTCGATGGGGTTGGGTTGTGACCGCGGCCGGATTTGTCATCAATCTCGTCATCTACAACGTCCTCTATTGCTTTGGAATCCTTCTGGTAACGTTTCAACATGAATTCAAGACCGACACCGTGACGACAGGTATGTTTTGTTAAATAATGCAGGCCGATATTTATAACTGTGTATTAACGTTTAAACCCGGTTTAAACCCAGCTTTAGTTCATATTAAGTTACATTAAGTAATATTAAGCCCTTCATCCCCTAAAACGTAGCACAGATCTTTGGATCAATGATTCAACAAATATGAAATCAATATACGTTTTGATTTCATAACTTTTTAATTCTATTTTTTTGACATATCTTAGTTGCTTTATTTAAAAATGATGATGATGGTGACTGATAACACCATCACCACCACAACAACAAGAACAATAATAATTTTACTACTACTTCTACTACTACTAATAGGCTAAAAGTAGCAATAATAGTAATGATGATTACGATGATTATACTGATGATATTGAAAATAATTATTATATTTTTTTTTTACCCAGCCTAGCTTCATATCATCAGTATTCTGGAAGGACCTTCACTGCACTTTTTCTTTTAGTATGGCCTCAGTCTATTATACCCGACTTGTAAGTTACGGATTTTTAGAATGTACATAGTATTGTGATAATTATTCTGGCAGTTCATTGCCTCATAATTATATCTCATCCAATAAATACTTTGCTATGTCCTTTTTCTTAAACTCTCAGGTTGGGTGGGCTCGCTAGGCATCGGGGTGTCCTGCTTGTCCTCACCCATCGCCAACCCTCTCATCGAGCGGTTCGGCAACCGAGTCGTCATCGTCGTCGGCATCCTCCTTTCTTTCAGCTCCATGATGTTGACTTCTTTCATGCCCATCCTCGAGGTCATGTATTTGACTTATAGCGTCCTCTACGGGTTAGGTGCGGGATTGCAGCTCATGAGTAGCATTAACCTAGCCCTTCAGTACTTCCCTACCCGCAACTCCACCCGATCTGTCTGCATCATCATGGCCGGTGCCAACATCGGTAAGTGGTGTTGTATAATGCTCCTCGCACACTAGGTGTACGATCGTTTGCACTTTTACCTGCGCTTGTCGAGCCAGTGAAAGCAAATCACCAATACACCAGTAACGCAATGCAATGTTTGAACTTCGTTTTGTTCATTTTGCATTCACCATGGCAGTGGCAGATCCAGGGGTGGGCCGAAACGGCCTCTTTCTCTCTTTCTCTCTTATAGACAATTTTATGAGATGGAATCTTCAATCTGAAGCCTTTTTGTGCTCTTTGAAAATGGCACACTGAATGGGGCAGTGCAATTTAAATTTCAAGGGATGGATTAGAGTTTTTATTGCTCTTGAAAGTCAAATATCCCTTTCATTTCATTTTAGAAATAAATTCTAATACATTCCTTGATATTTAAATTGCGCTGCCCCATTGTGTCCTCTTTTTAAAGAGCACAACAGAGCCCTCAGATTAGGCAGCAAGTAGCAAAACAAACACTGGACACAACATTCAATGGGATGATATATGCCCATATCATTGAGTTTGAAACGCACTTCTGGTCAAGAATGGTAGAAGAAGCATCTGCATAAAAAGGATGAATCCTTCACTGAATAGGGATTCTTGCTATACACTTTTACCTTTGTGTAAATAATAAAAGGTCCACGGGCGTGGTTGTTAGAAGCTTAAACCAGGGAGGTGAAAGAAAAGGAGGCGAAACTCTTGTAATTTATTCAAACGCATTCTTGAGTTCTAAAGCGTAACAATGGAATGTGTAACATTCCACTTGGCTTTGAAGTTCCATGCTCCGAACCGCGCTTCCACTGCGGGGAATTTCGGAAGCCAGGCACCAGTTTTACATTTATTACAACATATTAAATTACCGGCAAAATTTCAGTGTAAATCAAAAACTTTATATGGGGATTTTATTAGGAATAGTGCATCAAACAAATTTTCAAATTTAGAACTCCGTCCTTCCTTTAATTTGTATGCCAGAGTTGGTAAAAGAAAGGTTACATCCTGTCAAAAACTCAATATTTTAGGATGATGCGCTAATTTGTGCATGCTTTAATGTCCCGTTATTTGATCCATGATTTACAATCTTCAATAACATTAAGTTTGCTAATGCGTGTTTTCGCGTGTTTTTTGTATTTTTCAAGTTTAAAAAAGGATGAAAGTACACAAGTTTGTGTTCGCTTGTTCTACTCTTTACACATTCAACAATGGATGAGAAATCATTGGAAGGGACAGCGAACAGTTGCAGTGATACCATTTTCTGATGTAGGAATTCTAAATCCTGAAATTTCATGCGCTCTTTTATCTCACCACCTGGTCAACAGTTGCAGATTAGCGCATAACTTTTCGGCGGCTTGGAGCATGGGGTCAAAGGAGAGCGGCTTGATTCCTGTCCTTCTCTATCACGTCCCTGCTTAAACTACATAAAACTCTCTCCAATTTTGCAGGGGGAGAGCCTTTGTCGGGAGTCTTTAATAATAAAAGGGATAAATCCTTCACTGAATAGGGATTCTTGCTATATGTTACCTTTCTTCGCTCCAGTGATCTCGAGGCAGCAGACAGCAAGAAATTGTGTAAATAATTTGCTGTTGCCGGGAGTCTTGCATGGGGCGGAGCCCCAGGAAGTTCTTGAACTTTAAAATTTTTTAGGAAATTCCAAATAGTCGTCATGAGCGATAGAAATTGTAATTTCCTCCTTGAGAGTCACATAACCCCTTTCATTTCATTTTAGAATTTAACCTCTCTTTCTCTCTTAAAGACAATTTCATATAACTTCTGTTTTCGTATTGTTGTACTTTCGTCCGCAGACTACTTAAGCACATGTCGATCCAACTCAGTCGGAAATGTAATATGTAGGCCTAAGTGTAAAGTTAAGTTTCATGTTCTTCCTTTTTTATGCCTCCGCCACCGAAGGTGGTGCCGGAGGCATCATGTTTTCGGGTTGTCCGTCCGTACGTCCGTACGTCCGTCCCGTTTGACCGTTATCACAATATCTCAAGAACCATTTAAGATTTAAACTTAAGACTCGGGAATAGTATTTATCACCATATGAAGACGATCTGATTAGATTTTGGAGTACGTAGGTCAAAGGTCACAGGTCACAGAGGTCAACTTATGAAATTCCTTGTATTGAGTTTGTTAGCGCGATATCTCAAGAACCATTTGAGATTTAAACTTCAAACTTAAGGATAGTATGTATCACCATAGGAAGACGATCTGATTAGATTTTGGATCACGTAGGTCAAAGGTCAAGGGTCATAGAGGTCAACTTATGAAATTCCATACATTTCAATTCAATTTTATTTTTTCTCATTTCCAGCAAAAGAATACAGTATTCATAGAAATATCATTACAATAAACAATCAAAGTAGTAACCATGCAATACAAAATATGAATTTAACAGAATTACATATTTGAATATCAAGAAATATTGCTGCTTAAAATAATTTATTAATGTTAAGCTGGAAACGGAGAGGTCCACTGTGAAGCGATGCTTGAAAATCGTGGACCCCTCGGGTGGTAGTATTCAATAATAGTAAGTTACATGAGTAAAATAAGGATAATTGCCAACAGAGAGGACACAAAAGGAGAAACAAAACAATACGCATAACACGAACAATGTACAAAGAAAACAAGGAGAGTGTGAGAGGAGAAGGGATACAGTAAAGAGAAAAGGTTTGCATGTGGACTACAGAAATAGATGAAAGGTGATAACAAACAGAATGAAGGTTGCGCGCAAGATCAAATTTTCAAAAAAAGAAGAACAGTTCAATGAGAGGAAGTACTTGGAAAACGAGTGGTGACGAGTTCTCTGGAGAACATAATACAATCTCAACAATAATGATCATAATTAAAATAATGACAATAGTAATAATCATGAAAATTCCTGCATATAATATACACAGGCAATAAAACAAGGAGCTAGGTTTTGTACGGGGCCAGTAAAGATTTCTTTAGATTTCTTTTAAAGACTGAGAGAGAAGGGGAGTTTTTCAAATCAACACGCAAAGTATTCCAAAATTTAGGGCCTTCAAAGATGAATGTTTTTTGTGCGAAAAATGTTCTCAAAAAAGGTAAATGAAATTCTTCTGACTGTCTTGTGGGATATTTATGAAATGTACGATTTTGTTTAAACATATCGTGAAACGCAAATGGAAGAGTACCAGAATTGAATTTATACATAAATTCACCTAGATGTAATAAGTATAGATCGTTAATTTTTAGGATATTATGTTCATTGAGATTGTTATCATGATATCTCAAGAACCACTGGAGATGTAAAAACTTCAAACTTAAAGATAGTATGTATCACCATAGGAAGACGATCTGATTAGATTTTGGAGCATGTAGGTCAAAGGTCAAGGGTCACAGAGGTCAACTTATGAAATTCCATACATTGAGATTGTTATCATAATATCTCAAGAACCACTGGAGATTTAAACTTCAAACTTAATGATAGTGTGTATCACCATAGGAAGACAATCTGATTAGATTTTGGAGCACGTAGGTCAAAGGTCAAGGGTCACAGAGGTCAACTTATGAAATTCCATACATTGAGATTGTTATCATGATATCTCAAGAACCACTGGAGATTTAAACTCCAAACTTCATTTTCGACTGCGCGCAGTCAAAATTCCATCTAGTTTCTTTCTTTCTTTCTTTCTCTCCCTCTCTCTGTCTCTCTCCTTTCCTCTATCTTCTTTTTTAAAAACATTATTCTTTCTTTTCTTCTCATTTTTCTGTGTGTGACATGCGTTACGCGTACGTCTATCAATGTCTTAATATGGTAGATTTACATTTTGATGTTTCCCTTTGTAGGTGCACCTTATATTCCAGAAAGTGCCCTATTTTGATGGTGCCCCCCCCCCCCCATGTATTGATCTTGATAAAAAATAACTTTCTCATTAATTCTTTTTCCAATATATCTAATACTTGCACTAATCTCCAATTTAAAAAAAAAATCGTCTACTTTCTCTCAAGACAACATTATATAAAGGATTCATTAATGCAAGGCTATCTCGCGAGTAATCTCTCAATTTCTAACTTCCTGCATTCCTCATCTCCCAGTCTCCCTTGCTTTAATATTCCTCGTTACTTCCTTCCAATTGAACTCCAACTTAATTGATGTTATACTCTGTATCTATTCTTCAACTACAGGTAGATGCAAATGTTACTCAAAATCCATTATATAAATCACACTCAGGATACAGCCAACTGACGAGAATTGCTTCAATCTATATTTTACATGTATCATTAATATATGGTTTTACAATGGCTATGTTGATGAGTTGTCTAGGTAACATGTTGATGTGTTTGTTAAAATGTATTACCATGGTGCACCTTCTTGGTTGGGTATGTATTAACGTAAGTTCGTGCCTTTACATATCACAGTAGAAATCAATGTTTTATATTTGATGCAGAATAATATTAATATTTGGAGATTAGAAACACAAACAGTTTCCATAACCGTTCAAGTGTTTCAAGAAAAAGTTAAGCAAACTTTCTCCTGGATGTAAATTCACACTAGCGTATAGCACTAGCGAGCTCTTTCCGATCTAGGCTAGACTCTTCGCGAGCGGTTTCATTGGAATTTTAAGCGGTTTCATTGGAATTAATCGAGAAATTCCCCTCGCTAGCGTGTAAATAAAAAATACGCCGGCCGGCCATACGTAAATGGCAGTGACGGTAACGACGGATTAGGAGAAGGGGTGCATACGTGAACTACAAGCGTAGTGGGATGATCATACTATCATTTTAGAGTGTGCAATCTGGGCCGGAATCCAGCATAATATATTTATAAAAAAGAAGTTCACATAAAAGCACTCATGATAAAGCCGCGCCCGGCCCCTACAACATCATTTTGGATTTTCAGATGATGGGCCGGGTGGCAGGGGTAGGGGGCAAAGTTCGCCCCACTCTTTAAGTACCCCCCCCCCCAAAGGGCCACTTTTACTTTGTAAAGAAGTGCCCCTTCCCCTTTTTAACTCGGATAAGCGCACATTTCATCAACACATGTGCCCCCTTTCCTATCTGATAAGGGCTATTTAGAAAAATGAGGCCCTTCATAAATAAAAAGTGTCCCTTTTCATCTCTGGTAAATGACCATTTTCATATATGAGAAGTTAATTCTTTTTACTTCAGTGTGCTCTTCACCTCCGATAATTGCCCCTATTCAAATCTGAGAGATGCTCGTTTTACTTTGAAAAGTACCCCTTCCCCTCCTGATAAGTACTCTTTTCATCTATGATGGGTGCCCATTTTCACCTTTGCTAACTGCCCTTTTATTTTGAATCGTGCCCCTTTTCCTTTCTAATAAGGGACCTATCCCCTTTTCATAAATGCCCCTTTTCACCTCTGATAAATCAATTTCTGATGGATGCCCCTTTTCCGTCAACAAATGCCCATTTCCCATACTCATAAGTGTCCTATCTCATTTCTGGTGAGTGCCTCCTTTTAGGTGTAAGAAGTGCCCCGTTTGAACCTTTGATAATTACTCTTTGTACCTTGACACATGCTCCTTTTCTTTTCTAATGAGTGTATTTATCCCTTTCGCACGTAGGCACGGGGGGGGGGGGGCACGTGCCCCTAACCTGCTCATCATTAGTCTTGCACCTAATTTAAAGCGACTAAGAGTAATTTCCCCTAAAAAGGTCGCTCGCTCGCTCGCATTTATAGATGATACAATATGTCACTTTAAAACAAATGTTTTTTCAGTCTTCCGTGATGCTTATAACCCCATCATGATTTGGTTTTTTCCTCTTTATAAGATGTAATTTTTCACTCTGCGACCTCACAGATCTTACATTTTATTCAGACAATCACACCCAGCCGAAAGTGTGATGCTTAAGCAATATCTTGTATGATATATAAAGAAAAACAAATATTGAAATCGTCCCTGATAGTGGAATCACAATGAAAGGGTATATACCAATGTCTAAAAAAAATGTATATTTTCGCTTTGAGATTTCGCTTTGTAGGTGCCCTTTTTTGTTGGTGCTTTCCACTTTGGAAATAGCTCCGCCGCCCCTGCTTACGCATTAGCGCCAGCGTTAATTTCACGCTTGCGTGCACAGGGGGTGTGTGTGTGTGTGTGTGTGTGTGTGTGTGTGTGGAGGGGGGGGTTCCTCTCTAGCTCTGTAGCTGATTTTTTTTTTTTACCTGGATTCGTGCGATTCGGTTAATACTTTTAGAGGGAGTCTGAGGGGTGATGTGCCCCCCTCTGAAGCTGACATTTTTTGGATTTTTGAAACAGGATTCGCGCGTTTTGGTTAATACTTTTTTTGGGAGTCTGATTTGATTTCAAAACACCTGCAGTTAATGCGGGATGGGGTTGCAGCCTCTCTTTCCCCGAAAATTTAAAAATTACCAATATGCATTTGTTATATCTTATCTCGTATATTTTGGTGACAATTAACACTTTTCACAACATACATAAGCTCAAATTTCCGCTCACTCGCCAAATTATTAAACCAGGAAATAGATATTGGGGCAAGAGGCTTCAGCCCCCACTGATGGAAATGTCAAAAAATTGCGCGCGAGCATAACTTGAAAACGGGGAATGTTGATATCGGACAAGAGATGTGACGTGAGCATGTCCCCTTTCCAAAATAATTGTGCCCGCTTGTAGGTACCAGTACACTATTAAAGTACAATGCTTCTAATATAACCTTGTCAGTATTGGTAAGTTTAAATAACGGTCTGCGCGAATTTCGATAGTCCAATGGCTTCTATTGGTAAATCAATAATGATAAATCAAAATCGATTTTAGCAACTGTCCACCGCCCCCCCCCCCCCCCCCATTGGAAAATCCTGGATCCGCGCCTGCATGGTAACGGTCAGGTGTACTCACTGATGAAGTACTCATTGGTGTTTGAGAATCCGTTATTTCGGCTTTCCGAAAGATAATTGGCAGCCACCAATGATGAATCGTTCCGGTAGAGGCATAATCAATAATGGAATGACACTGTCAAATTTATCTTCTATCTAATAGGCATGTTGTGTACGGGACCCTTCCTTCTGTATCTGGTGAAGACTGTTGGCTGGCGAAACAGCCTCCGTGTGATGGGCACGATCATGCTCGGCATAGGGCTTCCACTGACCTACGTGTACGACCAACCAAAGACCTATCTGCCTCATATCAGCAACTCCGAAGACACCAAGGATGTGTCAACGCGAGATGTTATACCACAGACAGAAGAGTGCCTTCCGTCAGGCGGTGAGGACGTCATCGAACTGAAAGTGTACTCCTCTGACATGAGCTCGGGGAAAGAAAGCGAACCTCTGAAGCACAGGAACCCAGATCTCCATGGATACGACAAGATATCCTCAGAGGATGGTAGAGAGGCAAATCAAAAGAAAAACTTATTTTGGCGTATCCTGGTGGCCTTAACCTTCCCAGATCTGTGGATGTTCTGTTTGGCCTGCCTCGGTTATGGTTCCTGTTCTTCTTTCGTCTACGTGCATTTGGTAAGTTGATTTGGTAGGCTTGTCGCCAGAGCTTTTGAAAAAAAGGGATAGGAAGAACGGTTGCATTTGGCCAATTTGCCGTCATTTTCGTATTCATAAAAAAAGGAAAACTATTATAGTTATCATTATTATTATTATTATTATTATTATCATGATTATTATTATTATTATTATTGGTGTTGTTGTTGTTATTATTATTATTTTTGTTAATTTTTTTCATTAAAATTTGTATTAAAATATGTCACTATTATAACTTTCACCTTTTTTTCTAAGGCTATAATTTCCAACAATTTCCTAACGTGAGAAGCACGATGTAATTAACGAAATATGTTTGTTGCGAGAGTCTCTTGGGAGCTCACCAAATAAGAGTGCAGTTCAAATGATAACCCATTCTGATTTTTACGCTCTCTAAAATCAGCTTGATTAGGGGTCTAATCTAACGGTAGAAAATGCCATACTCAGGAGCAACATTCGAATGAAGGCAAACATTGCAGGTTATGGTTAACACACTTGTTGTTGTTTGTTTGTTTTTATTATTATCACTTAGCTCATTGAAGTTGTTACCCCTGCGTGTGTGTATACTGTTTACATAATATAGGCCGGGTTCTTCCGCTCACGCTGGCAAAACTTCTCTCAGATATCGTGATTATTGCCTAGATAACATCAACTCTAGTCAACACTCTCAATGAGAATCTATCTGCGAATAAACATTTTATGCATACAAAGATTGCATGAAAGCAAACAATCGTTGTTTATCTAGTTGGATCAAATACATTGGATCATATAGATACTTGCTTGTGTAAGCAAATAGTAAAACCCTACTGCAAAACCGACTCCAAACCGACCGATTCTTGGCTAATCGAAGTAGAGTAATTCTTTTGTTGTCGGTCTGGTGTTGGTCTGGTGTTGGTCTGGTGTTGGTCTGGTGTCGGTCTGTTGTTGGTCTGGTGTTGGTCTGGTGTCGGTCTGTTGTTGGTCTCGTTGGTATGACTGGGGTATTATAACACACATGAATAACCTCGGATATCTTGTATTTGATGAACGTATTGACTGGAGCAAAACAAGTTTGCATGTACTGAAAAGAGTCATTCCTTTCATATGATCGCAAAAGACATTAGTGTACATCTGAGTTTAACGCAAAGAGAGTTGTATGTTACTGTAATGTAATTATGGAGGAACTTCAGAAAAGTACGCAATTATCATTTTCAAAAACTGCAAAATAAAGAACTCCGTTAATTAGATGTGGAGTGGAATGAACGCGCTCTACATAAGGTTAAAACCGCGCATGGTCTGTTGACATTCAATATTATAGTAGCGAGACGTTCTTAGTTGAAAGTTAAAATGATGTTGTCGAAAGAAAAACACACTCGTCCCATGTTTGCATGCCTCTCTCTCTCTCTCTCTCTCTCCCTCTCTCTCTCCCTCCCTCCCTCTCTCTCCCTCCCTCTCTCTTCCTCCCTCTCTCTCTCTCTCTCTGCCTGAATATTAGATATTCGATTCCAGAAGAATACAGTAGTCGGAGGGGAGGGCAGTCTATGAAATATAGCTCCTGAAGAAGACGTAGTGCAAATTTGAGCGACATCGATGAATGATGGCTTAATATCTGCGATATATCTGATTTTTGGCCAAATCATTATTTTATATTAAAAAAGTGACGTAAAGTGAAGAAAATTGCAGAACAACAATATTTTCAATGTTTCATGCGCAATGTCTTTATGAAATCTGTCAAAAAATAGAATTAAAAAGTTATGAAATCAAAACGTAAGCCTATTTTGATTTCATATTTCGTCGCTGTTTTCACGAAGTGACGGTAGTGAAAAAAAATTGCATTCACTTTGCGTTACGATTTTCCTCACTACCGTCACTTCGTGAAAACAAGGACGATTTGTTGATTATTGATTCAAAGTCTGAGACAGAAAGTATGTCAGATCAAAATGAACTTATATTAGTATTGTGCAATATTTCGGGTACATTAAATAGGCCTATGGTATGCTTTATTTTATGATGGATCAAGATAGGGCAATTATACCATTTCCTGAACCAGTTCAGGGAGGTGAAAGAAAAGGAGGCGAAACTCTTGTAATTTATTCAAACGCATTCTTGAGTTCTAAAGCGTAACAATGGAATGTGTAACATTCCACTTGGCTTTGAAGTTCCATGCTCCGAACCGCGCTTCCACTGCGGGGAATTTCGGAAGCCAGGCACCAGTTTTACATTTATTACAAAATATTAAATTACCGGCAAAATTTCAGTGTAAATCAAAAACTTTATATGGGGATTTTATTAGGAATAGTGCATCAAACAAATTTTCAAATTTAGAACTCCGTCCTTCCTTTAATTTGTATGCCAGAGTTGGTAAAAGAAAGGTTACATCCTGTCAAAAACTCAATATTTTAGGATGATGCGCTAATTTGTGCATGCTTTAATGTCCCGTTATTTGATCCATGATTTACAATCTTCAATAACATTAAGTTTGCTAATGCGTGTTTTCGCGTGTTTTTTGTATTTTTCAAGTTTAAAAAAGGATGAAAGTACACAAGTTTGTGTTCGCTTGTTCTACTCTTTACACATTCAACAATGGATGAGAAATCATTGGAAGGGACAGCGAACAGTTGCAGTGATACCATTTTCTGATGTAGGAATTCTAAATCCTGAAATTTCATGCGCTCTTTTATCTCACCACCTGGTCAACAGTTGCAGATTAGCGCATAACTTTTCGGCGGCTTGGAGCATGGGGTCAAAGGAGAGCGGCTTGATTCCTGTCCTTCTCTATCACGTCCCTGACCAGTTCAACCGGAAATATATAGGCATAGAGAGGTATCTAAGAAAATCCAAACTCTCATAAAGGTTTCCTTATGACCCAGTAACAATAGGGTGATTTAAGAATGTTGTGGTCTAATAAATATATATATATATATATATATATACTAAGGAAAGACAATGCAAGTTATTGGGAGTTCCAACGAAGCGTAACACGATGAATTATAATAATTACTATCATAAACGCAACTTTGAAAACCACTTCCCATAACTCACAATTTGAAACTAACCCCTATTTCTTCCTTTGAGCTAAAAAAAATGCATTATGTTGAGGAATTATATAATAGCAATATCCATATTTTGTCGATAGGTTCCTTACGTCTTGTCCGTGGGTTTTACGGAGGAGAACGGCGTGCAGGCGATCATGGCTATCGGTATCTCGACCCTGCTCGGAAAATTTTTCCTGTCGTCTGTTGGTGATCTAGTTCCATTTCCGAAAATTTTCCTTTTCTTGGTAGCCTCTGCAGTTGGAATCTCGCTCTCTATCTACCTCTTCTTCATCAGCAGTATCATCGAAATATTTTTCATAATCATAAGTAAGTTTTCAATAAGGATATTGATAATGATAATGATGATGATGATGATAATGATAATGGTAATATTAATAATGACACTAATGATAATAATAATAATAACAATAATTATAATGATAATAATCATAATTATAATGATATAAATTAAAGAAAAAAAGAAGAAGAAATGTAGACAGAGATGAATATAGAGTATCTATGATTTGCCAACTACACATGACCAATGTCTCAAGGGCGCAATGGAGAAGAAAAGTGAGAATATACAAATAAAGAAAAAAATGAAACAACTTGCAAGGGATAGAAGCTTCACCGAGCTTCCTACTCTTAAATAGCAGAGTAAGATTAAGTACTACATCATTTCGTAAACCATTTATATTTTGAGCTTGATAAGTTAAACAAATTCTAATATAAATCAATACCAATGTCATAAGAAAGAAAAAATGAAATGGCAAGTTTCTGAATGAATATGAATTCATAATCAAGAATGCGATTAAATATATTGCACGAATTTTTTAGGAATTCCGCATTTTCTTTTGTCTTTTCTTTTGTTTATTCCATTTAGCTATGGGCCTGATGGTTAACAGTATTTGCGACTCGTTGCCTTACTCTGTGTGCAACCAGGTCTTCGGGGTCGAGAAGGGTATGGAAACCTGGACAATAGTCACCTGTTTTCATGGTGTTGGGTATCTGATATCCTCCGTGTTTGGTAGGTCAAACTTCGTATCCTTATTGTTTAGTAGGTCAAAATTCGTCAATGTTTACAGAGGGTGCTGGGCTAATATCCGAACTAAAAGATCTTTCAGACTCAACCCGGCAAAACCGGGGCTTTTTATAATGATGACTTCAAGACTAATACTCGTCACATTCCTTATATTATAACAGAGAGTTCAATGAATACTTGAAAGTCCTTTTTTGCGTGCAGTAGCAATGTGGTAATTTTCCAGGGGGGGGGGGGTAATTGTTCCGCTGGTTACCGCGCAATATCTGAACAAGCTTTAATAGTGATTAATTTTTTCAGCGAGCAAGAAAATAACCTTTCCCCGGGCTGTAATTTGAATGAGGAGGGTGGTCGAAAGGACTCCTTGCGTTCTAGTTTGTGGGTTATGTGATTTTTATTTCGAAATGTAAACGCAATTAGAAATGTCACTTTGTTCATTGAACTCATATAAATATTCTTGTGATTGTTTGGTAGGACAAAGAAACTCATATCATCAGTGTTTAGGTGGGTCAATAGCGATAGATTTACCTCGTTAATCTTAATAACGTATCAAATTTTTGTCACCAAATAACCTCCTGAAAAACCTACAATTTCATAATTATTAGCAGTACACCTCCTATACATGTAGGTAACATACTTACGTTGTTTGCTTTGTGAAAAATATAGGGCAGAGCGTTGGCAAGGCAAGGACATTGGCGCATCCAGGATTTAATGAACAGGTTGATAGGGCAGGGGGGGGGCAAGGGATGGAATCCTGACGTGCTGTTGACCCAATGCTTCGAGAGGATGTGGAAATGATTGGGGAGGGCAATCGCTCAGTTTCTTAATTAAAATGGGATTTTAGATTTTTTGAGTCACAATGTCCCATTATACTTATTTTTTTCTTCTTCAAGTTTAATTTTTCCCCAATTAGGTCAGTGACGTTATGATCCGGTGGATAGTAGTCCCGGTTTAGTCATTATCATAATTTGTATGTTTTTAAAGTTTCTTATTACACAAAGTTTCTCTTTAAAAATGAGAAAAAACTGTTTTTTCTTCATTTCGATAAAAATAATTTTACTTGAAATTTGGAAAACTCGCACCTGTATTTGAGCTTTATAGTGCCTGCCTAACCGTTTCACTATTATAAACAGAATAATTCTGGCAAGAATTTTTTTTAAGTTTACGTCATTGTGCTCATATAAAATATTGATTGGGCCAAGACGCAAATATATCGTTTTAGCCAATTCATTTATCGATGTCGTTCAAATTTTCACTGCGGCTTCTTTAGGAGCTAATATATCAATGACTTGGCATTCTCTATCAATTAAATTGCAGGAAAGAGCGTTGATCAGACGGGGTCCTACAACGGTGCAATTTGGGCTACGATTGTAATCTACGCGGTTTCAGGTCTACTCTGTGTACTGGTTCCGGTCTATCAGAGACTGTTTGCACGCGAAAGGTTTGTCATGGCTGACTCATTGCAAAACAAATGCTGCTCCAGAAGATGTGGCCGGTGGGAGCGTGAAAGTAAAGAGAAGACCGATGAAAAATATGCTTGCTAAGGGAATGAACAATGTCCTATTTGGCACAAATGTCCCTTGGGGTGTGACTTGGTTGGTTGGTTGGTTCTTCGTTTAGATGGCGCTCTTCAATCTCAAAGATTATTTGCGCCAGTCAATTTCGTGTATAGCTTTGGCGTGGGCTTCGGAAATCAAGCCCACGAGCGACTTTCCATGGTGAAATGAAATTAATAGTGATATGGTTTTATAAAAAAAAAATTAAAAAAAAAAGCTGCAATATTAAAATTGCATAAAATGCACATAAAAGGCGTGATGGGAGTTAGTTGCAATTGTTCATGGAAAAACCGCAAATACTTCATTTTATATATTATTACAGGATCGACATAAGTTAAGGGGATCCCTGATAGCTTTAAAAGCTATCTAAAACGATTAGTATCGTATATGTAACCCAATAATTCACGAGTAAAAATTGGGTTAGACATCAATAATTGTTTCAGATTGGGGTTGTTCAATTTAATCCTTTCTTTTAAGAGACGTCTATCTTTGTCGTATTTTGTACAATAGAAAATAAAATGTTTAATTGTTTCATCTTCTTGACAAACTTCACAAAGACCAGTATCGTGTTGGTTAATTTGAAAAAGGTAATAATTTAAACTACAGTTACCTACTCTTAGTTGTTGTATCAAGCATTCTTCTCTGCGAGATAGGCCTTGTCTATGTATGGGCTTTGAAACGTCGCTATGCAAAGCATATAAAAATCTACCGTGTTCTGCATTGTCCCATTCTGCTTGCCATAATTTGTTATAATGGATCAAACGAGAGGCTGCCAATTCACTTCTTGTATTTGGTATAACTATGTCTATACACCTTTTCATGGCTCCTTTTTTGGCAGCCCGATCTACGATCTCATTGCCCCTAATATCGCAATGTGACGGAATCCATTCAAAAGCAACACAAACATCCTTAAACTGCAAAATATTAATTATGGATAAAATTTCATTTACAATAGCACATCTAATAAAGTATGAATCGATCATTTGTAAAGCTGACAAAGCGTCGCTAAAAATTACCACCGAAGAGGATTCAATAAATGTATTAATCCACTCTAGTGCCATTAGTATGGCCACTAGTTCTGCTCTCATAATACAGACATGGGATAATCTAAAAAATTTCACCACATTATAATGAGACACATAAAATGCGGCTCCTGTCTTCCCATCCTCGAGTTTAGAACCATCTGTATATATATGTAAAAACCCATTCCATGAATTTCCAATGCTATCTAGAACAATCGATTTTATTTCAAATGGAGGCATTTCCTTTTTTTGCACTTTGCCATGGTGTTCGAAAGACACTTGTGGTCGTGCTAACCGCCATTCTGGGATTTTCGGCAATAAGTTGGTTTGCCCTTCCACCACTACTTCGTCTCTAAAGGATCGCAGTTTAAAAGGTCCTTCTCCTATCTTCCATTCTAAGTTATTTAAATCATAGTCATCACCCAATACTTCTTTTGTTGGGTGGTTTAAAGTACTAGACAGTAAATAAACTCGAAAGTTATCATTTAACAACCTTCTACGATATCTCAGAGGCAGCTCCCCGGTCAAAACTTGTAAAGCCTCCAAGGACACATTGTGTATTGTGCCTGTAATAATTTTTAAGGCTCTGTATTGGATAGAGTCAAGTTTTTTTGTTAAAGATATACAAGCAGAATCATACATTTCACTCCCATAGTCCAAAATGGATAGGATAAGTCCTTTATAAATCATCATCAAAATCTCATACTTACTTCCCCAGGGGGTGCCGGAGACACAACGTAGCAAGTTTATTCTTTTCTTACATTTATCAATGATAGAATCTATATGGACAGACCAAGTTAAATTGGAGTCAAACCTCACACCAAGGAACTTATACTGCTCGCATATAGGCAGATTATGTCCTTTTATTTGTAGAAGAATATCTTTCTTTTGTTTGTTGGTAAAGACTAATACTGCAGATTTGGTAGGGGAAACGTTTAACTTCCACGTCCAACACCATATCTCAAGCTCATGCAGGGCCTCTTGTAATTTCCTGCGGGCCAGCTCTAAATCCTTATTTGAACACCAGATTGCAATGTCATCAGCATAGCAAGATAATTTAACATCACTTACATTTATCTTGAGATCATTTAACATTAAAGTAAATAATAAAGGACTTAATGAACTTCCTTGCGGGATTCCATTTTCTAACGTGTAGTGGCGAGACATATAGTTATTTATCCTCACATTAGAAATCCTACTCAATAGAAATGCTTTTATAAAAAGTAACATTTTTCCACCAATGCCTAAGATAGATAATTTTCTTAGTAGACCTGTTTTCCATAGCGAATCATATGCTTTTTCTAAATCAAGAAAGACCGCTACGGTATATTTTTTACTTTTCAAGGATATATGTATGTCCGTCTCCAATCTCACTAAGTGATCTTTGACATTCCTATATTTGCGGAAGCCAGATTGGATAGGATTTAATAGTCTGTTTTTTTCTAGAAACCACGTCAGGCGATTTTTTATCATTTTTTCCATAATTTTAGAGAATGTTGATATCAACGAAATCGGCCTATAAGAGGTCACTTGAGTCGGATCTTTTCCGGATTTCAAGATTGGTATTTGAATAACCTCATACCACTGATGTGGAAAAAGTGAGATTTTCCAAATGTCATTATACAAGTTTAATAAATACACGAGTGCCTTGTTCGGCAAATTCTTAATCATAATTAAATAAATATCATCCTTACCGGATGAGGAGTTTTTCATCTCCTTTAAAACATTCCCCATTTCACTCAAGTTAAAGTCATCATTGATACAATCATCATCATTTGTTGAAGAATTATTGTACAAGATATTTTCGTTTTCATTTTTAGTTACGGAAAGTGATTCATCAACCGATTTAAAATAGGTTGCCATTGCATTTGCTTTTTCCTCAGATTCTTTCAAGATATTTCCGTCTACAAATAGATTGTGAAAGATGTGCTTGTTCATTGTACTGTCCCGCATTCTTTTAACCTGTTCCCAGACTTTCCCAATGTCTGTAAATCTATTCATTCTACGGCAGTACTCTAACCAATAATCATATTGAGCTCTCCTGATTACCTTCTGAGCGACAGCTTTCTTCTTTAAGTATTTCTTAACATCATTTAGATCATAATACCTTCTTAACCTGTTTTTAAGAGACTTGGAGACAGGTGGATAAGAAGACGGAGAGGGCGCTCCATGTGTAATGGTTTTAGAACTGCCTACAAATATTAGTGTAGTGTACGAGTAATGTTTGAAACATTTTCCAAATGAAAATCTGTCAGATTTTGTAATTACAAACATATCACGTTCTTGCCTTCATTTAAAGGAGAATGCATTTATAAAATGGAATTTAAATGGTAACATATCTATATGAATGAATAGTTTATGGCAGATTTTATTTTAACACAAAATGTTGACGAAAATAAAATATGAATATAAAGGAAATTAGTGGTGTAGATAATTGCACGTTCATATCAAAATCATAAATGATACATTCGAGGCAGAAAGTGGACTATATATTTGTGTAGGTGTGTGTCCGAGTGTGTGTGATTTTTGTCTGTAAAGTGATAGTATTATTAGAAATACAATCTTACGAAGCGGAGGTTCAGGTCGGACAGCCATGTACAACTAATGTTGTTTGGTGGTCACATAATAGAAGACATATCTTCAAGCCAATTCCATGTATTGTATGTAGATATGTTCAATCAATGAACCTGTGTAAGTAAAAATATACAGTGAGGTTCACATTGGGACGTATCTCTAAAACAAGCAAAACCAAGGAAAATAATTAATCACTGACGTTCATTTTGCAAGCAAATACTTCTCCATAGCTAATATCACATTCCGTGAATAATTATTTAAAGAATTGAGACTCTAAAAATTTGAAGACATGGTCGCATACCAACAATCCACTACCAGGTATAAGTTTGTATTTCATCATCTCCCCAAATTTTCTTTGTAATAAGTTTTTATATTAATCTTAATATACATATCTATCACACAAGGTCTGTAAGAAACATTTACACACAAATATTCGTTTTACCTGGTACCAAACAACAATTTAAACGTTCGCTCTACATAGTATAAGGAAAATATTTTTTGGACAGTACAATTCGTAGAACATATTATAGTTGTTATAGGTAAATGTTTAATCATTTCATACTTTTGTATTTTGTATGCATTTGAATATTTTGGTATGATTGTATTTATATTATAAATTTTGTATAAGTTGTGAAATGTTTATGTATATGTATCACCTGGAAGGAAAGTTTCTTCATTCTTTGGAAGAAGACAATAAAATTTTATTCTATTCTATTCTATACACTTTTTCCATTTTGTTTGTTTGTTCCCGTCCCCCTTGTTTGTTTCTCCTCTACATGTAAATTATTATTATCATGTAATTTGTATGTATCATAATGTGTCTTTGTTATGAAGACCCCACCACAAGCCCTATGCTTTTAGGGAATTTTGCCTCCTCCCTAAATTGTAAATATAGGCCTATATTTCATATTATATTCACTTTGTTTTTGTGAATTAAATAATTTGTGATTGACTTGAATATGATATATAATACACGTGTGTATTATACACATGTTCAATATCTGAATGAAAGCAATGAAATATTTGCAAATACAGACGAGTTTATACTCATGTACATATGTAAAGGATGCATACTGATTTAGTGACAGAGAAAAAGAAAAGAAATGGGCGAGATGTGAAGAGAAGAGAGAGAGTGTGTGTGTGCAGAGGCGCCGGAAGTGGGGGGGGGGGGGGGGGGGGCAAAACGCATTTTTGCCCCCCCCCCCTCAAAAAAAAAAAAAAAGCAGTAAAGGAGTAAAGATGGTTTGTATTTTTAACCCAAAAGAACATACCAATAATAAAAACCTGAATTAAATGACGTATGAAATTCCAGTCAAAGAAAAGGAAAGTTAACATGAATTAAATTTCCTAAACATTGCGCATGCGCATGCTACCTACATTTATCAATGGACGTTTTTATAATAGCGATACGCGCATTCTTTTATAGGGGTGAGAAGCTTAAGAGCCCCTAAACGCTGGCGTACTGATGGGGGGGGGGGGTATTTTTTTATTCGGTACCAGTGATTTATAAATGTTGCTGAAATGACATGATTTTCTGGTATATTTTGTCAATTTTTTGTAAGTCATACCTTTTTATGCGTTTGTTGGAAAATTAGAAATTCCCAAATTTAAAGTCGGGCGAAAAATATGCTTATTTAGAAGCATTTGTGTTAGGGTCTGCAAAACGGCAAGGCTCGGGGGCTCGTGCCATTCTCACTTTTTGAAAAAGTTTGTTACAGAGAAAAAGAAAGAAAGAGAGAGATAAAAAAATAAGTGACCTGCCAATGTCACAAATGAGGTATCAAAATATGCTCATCTGACCGTAATTAAATGCCTAAAACCCAAGAGCTTACGGAGGCTCCGCCCCCGGACCCCACCAAGGGCCCACCAAGGCCCCTGTATGCTCATCTGACCGTAAAATACCTAAACTCCCGAGCTTCCGGGGGCTCTGCCCCTGGAATCCCACCAACGGCCCTTAGGCGGGGCCCTGGATGCTCATCTGACCGTAATTAAATGCCTAAAAACCCAAAGCTTACGGGGGTTCCGCCCCCGGACCCAGCAAGGGCCCTAAGGCGGTCCCCTGTATGCTCATCTGACTGTAATTAAATGCCTAAAACCCAAGAGCTTACGGAGGCTCCGCCCCCGGACCCCACCAAGGGCCCACCAAGGCCCCTGTATGCTCATCTGACCGTAAAATACCTAAACTCCCGAGCTTCCGGGGGCTCTGCCCCTGGAATCCCACCAACGGCCCTTAGGCGGGGCCCTGGATGCTCATCTGACCGTAATTAAATGCCTAAAAACCCAAAGCTTACGGGGGTTCCGCCCCCGGACCCAGCAAGGGCCCTAAGGCGGTCCCCTGTATGCTCATCTGACTGTAATTAAATGCCTAAAACCCCAGAGTTTACGGAGGCTCAGCCCCCGGACCCCACCAAGGGCCCACCAAGGCCCCTGTATGCTCATCTGACCGTAAATAAATACCTAAACCCCCGAGCTTCCGGGAGCTCTGCCCCTAGAATCCCACCAAGGGCCCTAAGGCGGGGCCCTGGATGCTCATCTGACCGTAATTACATGCCTATTACCCCAGAGCTTACGGGGGCTCCGCCCCGGACCCCACCAAGGACCCTAAGGCGGTCCCCTGTATGCTCATCTGACCGTTATTAAATACCTAAAAACCCCGCGCTTCCGGGGGCTCTGCTCCCTAGACTCTCCGCCAATAAGTGGCCTGCCAGTGTCACAAAGAAGGTATCTAAATATGCTTATCTGACCATAATTTTAATGCCTAAAACCCCTGAGCTTCTTGGGGCTCAGCCCCTTGACCCCCTACCGGGACTCAGGCCCTTGACCCCACGCCATTTTACGCTCTACCTGATCGTTAATAATCCACTTTGAAAAACGTTCCGCGGGGCCTGCCCTGCATGTAACGTGTAAGAGTGATGGTGATGCAGATTTTTCTTCTGCCCCCCCCCCCCCTTCCAAACGTTTTTGCTTGTTACGTCACATCCCTGGAAGGTGTGCCCCCTGGAATGTTTGCCCCCAATCCCAAACTGCTTCCGGCGCGCCTGTGTGTGTGTGTATGTGTGTGTGAGAGAGAGAGAGAGAGAGAGAGAGAGAGAGAGAGAGAGAGGGGAGACAGAATTATATACATATAGAGAGACAAAGAGGTTATTTACTTTATTATTTCACTTTTATCAAAGGAAAAATCTCAGATGTTGCAAACTTCTGCGGGGTGGCATCGGAAAAATATTACAAAATATAAGGAAGAGCGGTTCTCATTTCGATCTGCTTTCCATTATTGGGGTTTTAAAAATCATATCGGCTCCAAAGTCATACATATATGTTGTGACGATCTACCATTTCCCTGTCTTTTCTTTAACCATCTTTTGATCCGTTTTTCTTCCTACGATCTCATGCATTGTGTTCTGTAATTCACGAAGCCGGATACAGGAGTTGGACGAACTGGGGTCACATGCCCTGTAAAAAGAAGACATATGTTTGAATATAATTATGTGAATGTCACCCGCTCTTTCTTCCTGTCTCCTCTCCTTCTTTTGTAAGGCCGGTGTGACCGCGCCGTTTGTCCTACCAGTTTCGTTTGTCCGTTGGACATAATATGCGGGTTTTCTGCTCGCACGGATCGTCCGAGGGACGATCCGTGCGGATCCGTGCGGATTGCTATCCGCGCAGTCTGCCCCCCCCCCCCATTGTTTTACGTGTATATTTGATAAAAGGAAGAAACTCGGCAAATCAATGTATTTAGACTCATTGCAAATCATGTGGTTGGCATTTTTTCTAGAAATTACATAATGATAACTCTCTACAATTTTTTAAAGCAAATGGGCCAGTCCTTTTGAAAGTAGAAGTGAATATTTTCTTTAAAACCTTTATTCTATGAAGGCATACTCGTGATATCGGCCCCACAATTACTGTTGTAATCAATTGTACGTGGCTTCGTACTTACGGTTAGATGAGCATATTTTAATATTACAAGGCATTACAATTAAGGTCAGATTAGCATCCAGGGGCCAGCCTTAGGGCCCAAGATGGGGTCCAGGGGGCAGAGCCCCCGGAATTAGCTCAGGGGTATGGGCATTTAATTACGGTTACATGAGCATACTTTCTTTTCTATTTCTTTCTATTTAATTCTCTTTAATATACTTTTTCAAAAGTGTGGGGTGGGAGCTTGAGCCCCCAAGCCCGCCGTTCCGCGGGACCTGACGTGTCGGCCTCTAAATAGTAAATAAGCACATTTCTTGCCTGACTGTTAATTGTGATATATGTCATTCTCCAACAGACGCATAAAAAGTATAATTTACTAAAAAGCGAGGAAAAATCCCGGAAAATTAGGCCATTTCAGCAAGATCTGTATATCACTGGTATCAAATTACAAAACAAAAAAAAATCACTTTTAAAGTTTATATTGGTGGGGGGGGGGTAGGAACTGGCTGAATACTTACACCTATGGTGTCGAGGGGCTCTTTCTTCATTTTTTGTTCGGTAATAAATAAGGTTAGTTTTTTTGTGGGTGTCACTCAGGCGCGGATATACGGGGGGCAATGGACCCGCCCCCCCCCCCCCCCTCTTTGAAAAAATAAGAAAGGAAAGGAAAGAAAAAATAAAGAAAAAGTAAAGAAAGAAGGGCTAACAACACGAGAAGAAGACCCATCAGGCACTCACTTATCCGTATCAGGAGGAAAAATACACGGGGGCTCGGGGTGAATTAGCCCCCGAAATGCCAAAAAGAGCCCCCAAAAGTCATAAAAGTAACCCCCGAAATGTTTAAAATATATTTTCTCTGATCCGTATATAAGACAAGGCCCTGGGGCAGCTAGCCATACTCCGATATTTGGGTCGTTTTCCGATCAGAACTAGCCCTAACTATCATTCCAGGATTTTTTGTTTCAGAACCTAAGACAAAGTTACCCAATCCCTTTAAGTTTCAAAGAGTAGACTTCATTGAACTGTAATTAGGCTTAGGAACCGGGGGAGGGGGATTGGGGGCACAGCCCCTCCCCCCCCCCCCAAAAAAAAAAAAAAAAATTGCAACTGATCACCCCTACCTTTCTTCTTCCTCTCCCCCCCCCTTTCCCTTCCCTTACTTCTCTCTCTCTCTCTCACATTTAAGTTTGCTGAGGGAGGCAGGGGCCTTTCGCCCCCTCCCCCCGATCCACACGATTTTGGTGGGATTAATCGCAACTGATCTCTGCTTCTTTTCACCCTTTTCTTTTCTTCTTCCTCTTTTGTGTTCCATTTTAGCTCTCCTCTTTCCCTTTCCCTTCTTTCTCTCTTTTTTTGGCGGGGAGGTGGTGGGGTGGTCGGGGAGGGGGGCAGAGACAAAGGCCTTTCTCCGCGATCCACATCTTGTTTGCAGAAAAATTGCAACTGATATCCCTTCTTTTCTTTTCTTCTTTTGTTTCTTACCCTTTCCTTCCTTCTCTCTTGTTTTGCGGGGGAGGTGGGTGAGGCAACAGTATGTGCGGCAAGGCCCTTCCGGCCCCCCGATCTCCTTCTTTTCCCCTTTTTTTTTTGTCTTCTTCCTTTCCTCTTCTCTCTTCTTTCCCTTTCCATTCTTTTCCTTCCTTCTCTCTCTCTCTCTCTCTCTCTCTCTCTCTTTTTGTTTGCCAGGGGAGGGCAGGCGAAGGCCTTTCGCCCCCGATCCACACCGCGTTGGTGGGAAAAATCACAATTGATCTGCCGTACCTTTTTTTCTTTCCCTTTCCCTTCTCTTCCTTTCTCTCTCTTTTAAGTTTGCTGTAGAAGGAGGGGGGACAAGGGCCATTTGCCCCCCCCCCGATCCCCAACTTGTTGGCGGGAAAACTGCAACTGATATCCCCCTTCTTTTCTTTCTTTCTCTTTATCTCCTCTTTTCCCTTTTTTCTTTCCCTTCTCTTCCTTCTCTCTTTCTTTTTGCTTGGGGGGGGGGTGCAACAGCCTGGGAGGCAAAGCCCTTTCGGCGGCCCCCCCGATCTCCTTCTTTCCCCTTTTCTTTTCTTCTTCCTTTCCCTTTGTCTCTTCTTTCCCTTTCCCTTATTTTTCCTTCCTTCTTTCTCTCTCTCTCTCTCT